GAATCCATATTACTCTCTCATTTGCTAGACCTTCCTGTATTTCCCGAATCCTCAACATATGTTGTCATCCAATCTGAACTGATACCAAGCTTTATATATCAGTTGAACACTTTGACGATCTCTTTGACATATCAAGGTTACAGGTCTACCAAAGCTTGGCTCAATGCAACGGGTGATTAGCCGGAAACGACGTCATACGCAAAAATTACTGGAAGAAAGTTCAAATCCTACTTCATCAGGTTACGATTCAAGTAATGTTGCTTCGACATCAGTATCAAGCGATGGGAATTGCTCCATTAGTGATCTTTTCCAGACTGCTGAACGATTACAGTTCCTTTTCACTCCTTCAGGAGGTAAAACTTGTGATTTCTAACATTTCAGCATCATTGGCACTGTCCTGCTATACAGTGTAAGATAATGTGACCAATCTGGATTATCAGTTATCAATTGTATATCTGGATTATCAATTTCTAATGGCAGTCCATTTAATTTAACGATCGGTGTTCATCTGATCTTGACCAGCTAATACTGTTTCTTTGATATGCTTGAAATATCTGGGAAAAATTTAGCATCATATTTCAGGCATCGATTCATTATTCCACCAACCATTTTTCAAAGTTAAAGTATTTTTGAAGGATTCAAAGAAATTGGACTCAAAAAAGCTAAAGATATGGGTGCTGAAGATGATATTAACGAATCGAGTAATATGAAAAAATCGCGGACAGGTATGGATGATCGGAAAATTGATCTGTCAACGTTCCAATCACTTTTTGCTGATGCAGGCATATCCGATGAAAAAACAGAATGTCCTTTTAAACCTTCAGTTAATCATTTTCGCATATTTTTTTTCAAACATTTGCGTAGATAAATCTTATATTTGCTTCCTTTTATTATTATTTTTACTTCATAAATATTTCAGATATTAAATTTATTGTACTTTTTTTTCCTTATTCTTTTCGACTGTATTACTTACTTCTTAACAAACTTTCATTGAGTTAGAAGACTGTGTAAGAGTTTTAATTCTAATGATAAAAGGATTAACTGTTTTTATTTGTCCTAATTACTCATATTAGTCTTGGGGTAAGATGTCATTGCTTTTTTTTTTGCAATTAATATTGTGAAAAACTTGTTTGGGTTAAAGGGAAAAAAGCGTTGCATTTTGAGATTCTTTGCATTATCTTATCTTCACTGTCATGAAATTTGTATCAAAAATTTAGCGCGACTTTTTTTCCCCCTTTGAAAATTATATTTCTGAAGAATTTTTCAGAGAAGTAAACGAATGGAAATTCAGATTCATTTACAACGTGTTGCTCAAGACATCGGCATATCTGATCTTACTTCATTTGATCTTGCCGAAGCATTAGATGATGCGGATCCATTGAAATTTCTGCGCAATGAGTTTGCTTATCCAAAAATGAGAACTCTACCACATGGTAAGTTGTTTCATTGAAAATTTTCAAACTCTACAATTTTGAATAAAGTGATAAGTGTTACTTTTGAAAGCTTAAATATTTTAGTAATGTTGGGAAGCTTTTAAACTGAAGCTCAAAAATGGTTGCATGCTGTGCCATTGTAGAGCCGTTATTCGAAAAATATTGAGCAAATTGGCGATAGCAAAAATTAAAAAGCTAGAAGTAAACCAACAATCATGTTTTATTATTTCCATGAAAGTGAAATGCATAAGATGTGTTCCAATTTGATTGTCTTTATTGCACTTGTGTTATTGTTCTCTATTTTTTTTTTTTACAGTTGATTTATTATTGGTGAATGCTAACGATGATGCCATTTATATGTGTGGCAATTCGTTAGGATTGATGCCGAAAGGTACGAAACGTCTTATGGACGAACAGTTTGAGAAATGGGCTAACATGTAAGTGTGTATTGCCTTAAACAAACTTCATCTGTAGGATTTACATGTAATACCTTAAGATTTATATCGATGTTGTTTTGCCCCTTTCTCAATCAGATGTTTAAGTCCAAATTTAACGAAAGCTAAAAATGTGGTATTTTCATAAAATTTCAATCTTCACTGTTCCATTTTATTTTCTCTTTCTGTATGATAATTTAACTCTAGGGGTGTTTTTGGGCATTTACAAGAGCCATTAGCATGGGCGCAAAGCGATGAAGCGGTACTTGGTAGTATTGCCGAGTTAGTTGGAGCTCAACGAACAGAAGTAGCTTTGATGAATAGTTTAACTGTTAATTTACATATTTTGTTGGTAAGTGATAATTCCACTAAAATTGAAAAGAAATTAGACGAAATCGAAGATTTCAGATTCTTTCAGAAATCTTCGATTTTTTCAGAGAATATTATCCGTCATAAACTTGTTTTTAGACGGTAGCTCCTGTATTATGTGTTGTATTAGAAATTCAATTATAGCTCGAGTTTCTTTATTTTCCTATTGTTATCTCTGAGAATGCAACCTATAGTTCTTTTTTTTCGGACATTTCACTGCCTCAGTATAGTAATAGTATAGAATTTTTTCATTGCAGGCAGCTTTTTATAAACCTACTCTGAAACGCCATAAAATCTTTATTGAATCAAAAGCATTTCCCTCAGATCATTATGCAGTTGAATCGCAGATTCGTTTAAAAGGATTTACTGTTGAAGAAAGTTTGATCTGTATGCAACCACGAGCCGTAAGTTTTTTTTATATCTTTAGGTTCTGAAGGATTGATGTAAATCCTCAATTTTTCTTTTAAATTTTGGATGTTTTATCATATCTAAAGTCTACGTTATGAAAGCTAGATTGAAGCTGAATATGTTTCACTTTTCATTGAATAGTTGTAGCTTTTCCGGATAACGAGTTATTGTAAATGATTGATTGGCATACCTTTTTTTTTCAGCTATCATAGGTTACTGCTGCTTACTTAAGTCTGAAATAAAAATTTCACTTGTCATTCTGTAGGGTGATGATTGTATTCGAAACGACGATATTATAGCGCTAATTGAAGAACAAGGTGATGCGATAGCAATCATTTGGTTTAGTGCTATTCATTATTATACGGGTCAGCTTTTTGATATAAGAAAAATAACTAAAGCTGGGCATGATAAGGCAAGTGTTTCAAGCTTTCTCTTCCCCATTTTTATCTCAGATCTTGATAGCTTTCAATTTACGAAGAATTTATACTGCTTAGTTCATGTCTATCATGAAATCATTCCGTTATACTCATTATTAATTGTAATCTTATTGGATAAATTAGCTTCCTATGTTTCTAGGGATGCCTTGTTGGTTGGAATTTAGCGCATGCATTTGCAAATATTCCGTTATCACTGCATGAATGGGATGTTGATTTTGCTTGCTGGTGCACCTATAAATATAGTTGTTCCGGTGCTGGTGGTATTGGTGGTTTTTTCGTGCATAAACGTTTTGAAACTGACCAACGTGAAAGAATGGTTGGTTGGTGGGGACACAAGAAAGAGACGCGTTTCATTATGGATAATCGTTAGTTTCAGATTTGTAACATTTAGTTTTTTTTTTCACTCGGATTTTGTCAACTGGCCTTTATGCAGTAAGGTATTCTCGGTTTATTTCAAACTCCCAAGATATATATGGTGTATGATATCTGGAATCATTAACCATTAACATCCCCCTATACTGACATTACCAAAAAACCGGTAATTTCAGGACAGTGCGCTTGATGGACTGTATGCTAACTGGACATACCATGACTAGATAAAGGTGAAAGTTCTTTCCATCAAAATTCCAACTGGATTTTTACCTCAGCCCTAAAGTAGTGGTTTATGTAGGTTGGAGGTAGACTGAACAAAATATTTTATTTTCAGAATTGGATTTGGAGAGTGGTGCAGCAGGTTATCGTATCAGTAATCCACCAATGATGCTTATAGTTCCATTGATTGCTTTTTTAGAGGTAACATCGCTTTCAGTGATTTCGTAACATAGAGCATCTTATTTTTTAAATTAGGAAAAAATTCAGTTGGATGATGAACGTTAATAATGTAGTCACAGATATTATTCTGTTTTGTGTAAACTATTTCTTTATATATCCGAAACGACTTCATATGAGGCACCAACTCTATTTATTAGCAACATAACTGACTGAAACCTGGACGATAAGACTTAGATAATCTTATAATCTAGTAACTGTTTGACTTGATTAACCAAAAAAAGTTTGACTTTACATTTGTTTCGTAGGTGATTTCGAAAACAACAATGCAAGATTTACGAGCAAAATCTATGTTGCTTACTGGTTATTTGGAATACCTCATCAACCATTTCCTCAGTCCATCTTCGTTAAATCGAAGAACTAAAAAGGTAACTTTTCATTCTGTAAAATAAACGGATATTTGTGCGTCATCTGAATATCTGGTGTTTTTCTTTTTTTTTATACAGATCATTTTTGCTCTTTGAATCAATGGCATAGATCATCTAGTCGTTATGAAGACTTGCACAGTCTTCTGGTCTTGAGTACTGATGGAATGTTTGTATATTTAACTCAACTCGGTAAATCCTTTTTTTGACCCTCATTGTATTATTTTAGGTAATGTGTACAATCATGACGCCGTCTGATCCTGAACAACGTGGATGCCAGCTTTCGCTAAAATTTAATGTTGATATATCACTTGTATACGAGGAATTAGTTAAAAGGGGTGTAGCGGTATGTTTAGTATAAATTTTCTATCAAGCTAAGAAAAAGTTTTTTTTTCACAAATATTTGCTTGTGGATTTTTCAAATATGAAAAATGGCCTGTTTCATAACTATTCGCAGGACGGTCTAAAGATTTCTCACTTTCTAGGTTGATAAGCGATATCCTGATGTGATACGTGTGACACCAGTACATTTGTATAATAGTTATACCGATGTTCATCGTTTTATGAGAGCACTGTTGGACTCACTGATTGTTGTTGAAGGTTATCGTGAGAAATAGTTATGATTCGAATTTTTCCTCGTATTGAAAAAATATAAGGATTGTATTTAGCTATTTAACAGCTCTTTCATGTAACACTAATATAAAGAAAATGTACAGTTTTTTTTCTTATACAACTTCTGATAAAAATTATCGGCGTTTGTTAACGAGAATTCGGATGTCAAAAGTTGTGAATTTTGCAATTTATGCAAAATCGTGTCAATGTCAAGACCTTATCAATATTTGGGTCAGCGGCAGTCTTATAATTTTTCTAATCCAACAGTTAGAATATTTGATTGATTAATTTTCACGAAATAGTGAGAAAACCCTGAAGTGATCCTAATTAAGCTAAAAAATAATGGACTATTACCAAATGAATAACTAGATGCTTCAGATCGATTTCTTTTATCTATTATTAGAAACACCTACTCTGTTTGTACATAAAGGATCCGCTTAGTTCGAATCATCTGATAATAATGAGGTATGGTAGTATAACCGTAACTTTAACTGGTTGCGGTAATGAAATAGTCTAGCTCAATGACATTGGGACTTTTCAAGTGAATGGAAAAGTCTAATGGTCATACCTGAAAATATGATCACAAGCAACAGGTGCATGTGGACAGTAAACTGATAAGTAAATGTCATCGAAAATGAATGAAGGAAAAAGAATCCATCTAAACCGAGTAATGTATTTTAGTATTGGGTGGAGCATGGAAATTTATGGATTGTTCCAACACCAAGAGCAATAACAAGTTTTATGATGATTCATGGTTATTATATTTCCTAATACGACCAACAATTTATTAAAAATTTCAGGAGTTAACTTGCAAATTTACCCTTGAAACTTTCCTAGCTAAAATTTGAATGATCAAATTTAAATTTTCATCGTATTTCTGATCCCGCATGTGTAACATTTTCAATTGAAAAATTCGCTTTTTACGTCAAAGGATAGCAAACAAAAATAGTGAGTGAAATAAAAGAATTGAAATAATCGAAAGCTGTAAGAATCAAGGAAGGAAAAAAAAGAAAAAAAAGTCTGCTACAAGCAAAATGTCAAATTTGTTACTTTTCTATCTTATGCTGCTTACTAATAGCTGAAATATAAGCTAAGTAGTTTCAAGATTTAATCAATTTTAAATAACAAAGCCAAGTGGTTTCATTTAATTTTTTAAAAACCGGGGACAAATATTCGAAAAGAAATTGATATAAATCGTAAGTTTCATAAATATTACAACGGGCATTACACTTAGAATTTGATCATTGCTGCAATGAGCAGCAAAAATTGAACAAATTTATCAAATCTAAATTTACTAACAAAAGTTAAATATATTTGATTAAAAATAAATGATAAATAATCATTTTCATATGTCAATTCTCTTGCATTAATTATAATGTATTCCGAGGAAATTTAACAATTCTTTGTGCGGAAATTTTCATTTCTTTATTGCTAGCAAAAACAATCCATTAATTGGATCGATTGAAGGTGTGGCAAAATTAACTTTTGTTGTAATAATTTTCAAATTACTTTCATTTATTTATTGTATGTCAATTTCTTTTTGTATCCAAATTTAAAATTCTTTATTATTTAAAAAAAAAAGAAAAATTTCTTTTGTAATTTAATTCGATGAT